TTGTTGATATATCCAAATTATGCAGTAATCAAAGTTGTATAATTATATCGAGTAGGGTGGATTGAGGCACAAATGGCTTAACTTGCTTTGTGGCTCCAATTGCAGAGGCAATCTTTTACACAGTTTATCAATGTGGGAATACCATGTTAAATGTCACGTTATTACATAAACACATGTTGGATATGAGAAAATATATTGCTAAATATTGAAGCCTGCAGGGCTGATTTGGCTATAATCACCCCATATCCAACATGTACAAGTGGATAATTGTATTATTACAAAAGCCCCAAAATATTGATAAATAAATATTCATTTTGAGTTGAGGCATACATTTCACATATTTGTAGAGCATGGATTAATGTTTGATAACCCACAATGGCTGAGCCAATGAAAACTCTTGAAGTGCATTATCCAGTGATCTATGTAGCATAGCTGTCTGAAGTGTCTTTTGAAGGTGTTATGCACTTACTTGTCAATGTTATGTGCTCTAAATAGTTGTTGTTGTTTTTTTTTAGGGGGGGCGCACTTAATTTGGAGCCTCGCTCTGTTGTGTCGTTCCTCGCCCCCCTTTGTTATTATCATTATTATATTATCATATTATTTTATTATATCTATGTATATCTATATTATTTCTTAGTTTTAAGGGTGGAAGCTAAGTAAATAAATAAATAAATAAATAATAGGTATGCTAATGTGGACTATATTTAAGATGTGTACTGCAGTTTGAATTAAAATGTATTTTGCGCATTTTGAGTGAACATTAAAGTTTTGTTGGTTACTACAATCTAGTTTTTAATAATCACTATTATTGTACATGCGATTGGTTTGAACTGCAAATGGTGCTGCATTTGTGTAACCTGCAGACGTTTTTTGTTTGTTTGTTCGTTTTAAGTCCCCCTTTGGGCTTAGCAACTTGCTCAGGCGTTCCCAACAAAACCACCCACTATGCATACTAATTATTACGACCTCGCACGAAAAATCTTTTTCCAGAAAGCTCGACTTAATGTTAAAAATTATGGCGTCTAGTTAAGAATCATAAACCTTCAGTTATGGATCGAAGGGACCACTGATTCATGAAAAAGTAGGTAAATCTTACTTTCCAAGTCTGATCAGATAGGTCTTGCTATCGATGTCATATACATTGGCCACCCTCATGCCAAGGAGGCTGTCATAAAAAGAGATAATATGAGAGTGCGATGAGAATTTAACACGCCAGCAACGGAAAACTAGCCACAGAAGAGGAAGTACACAATAACATTTTCTCTCCCTAATTATCTCACCTTCCTCTTAGCTCTGTAATCGCTGCGCAAAGATCAACTGTGGTAAATCTTATCTTCATCTTGGAGACACAAAATAAGTAAAACACGACGGATATCGAGATTTAATGGCACCAAAACATCTTATTTCGCAAATCTTCTGCCTCGTCCGCCATTTTGGATTTTTCTGACGCATAGTTGGATTGAAAACACCGCTGGGTTCCACTCGCTATCGATTGCGCACGTCCTACAAACGGGGACGGGGACAAACGGTGACAAACGGGGACAAACGGGAGAACACGCGGGAGTACGCGGGGAAATGATGAATTGGTGAAAACTTATTCCGCCAGTTGTTTGTACTAGGAGTATTGTCCGTGGTTGCTGCAGGTCAGAGAAAAGTCAGGGTGTCTTTGGTAATAATCCCATTTTTTTTTATTTTCATCTTTTAGTTTACAGAAACAAATAAATGCCCAACTTGTGATAGTAGTTAGTTATAAAAAAATTATAACAGTCTGCTTGCTGCACAGTATTCGGTTGCTGTCACATTTAGCACTAAAAAAGATGACTGATATGGAAAGCATCTTATCCATTATGAATGTCTTAGTAAGAACACAGTGAACCTTGTTCCTGCCTCAAATGCATGCCTCCATGTGGAAAAAAAAAATGCTCAGAAGCTTACATCTTCAAGGTAAATAAAGCTAACTAATACCTAGTCAAGACTTATTCTCTTCAAGATACATTTGAAAAAAAAAAAACCGAAATTTGAAAATCCTAAAAAAGCCCTAAAATTTGAAAATCCTAAAAAATGCACCTAAAATGTATCGTCAAGAGAATAAGTCAGTGACTAGGTTTTAGTCAGCTTTTGGGTGTTTTGTCTTGCAGCATGCGGAGCAAACCTGACATGATCCTATTAGGCCAAACAATGACACTGAGAAATCTTGATGACCTCTAACGTACAACCTACTAGACTAAGTATATCAACAAGCACCAATTGTGCATGTGACAGCAGTGCAACATCTTGACAACTACTCTGCCATGGGCTGCATGCAACATTGGTAATGATAGAATTTTCAGAAATTTGTTGAATATGTGAAATGAAAAGAACCACTCCCCCCCTGTCCCTGACATGGTATAATAAAGTAGACAAGAAATCAAAGAGAGTTCTTGAATGTGACTGTTTACAAAATATTTACAAAGAAAGACAAGAAACATTCCCCCCCCCCCCAACCCTAACATGGTATCTGTAGTTATGTAATAAAAATTAAGCATATTGCAGAATTGTATCTGGGATACCTAAAAACAAAACAAGGAAATCAGGTGAAAAACACTTATAATTTAATTAACATCATGCAAATATAATGATTAATCTATAAGTAGTTGTGACTTTTTCTTTACTTTAAAGGCTTGCAAATATACATAATATTATCACAAATTACATGTCATGGAATGCAATGCAATCCAAGGCATGAAAGCATGGAACTTAACTTTCACTGCTATGCCATTAAATCATCTAGAAACCCCCAAAAATGCATTTATGGGTTCTTTAAACACTTACTTCATTACCCTTTCATGGAGTACCTACCATGGAACACAACAAGTTCACGAACATCATTAACCAGTGAAATCTTTTGCTTGAAATCATTCCTGAAAAAAAAGTGAAAAAACTTTCAGCAATGACATACATTATAACACTAGATTCAGGGTAGTTTTCCCATTTTTTCCAGTTGTTTGTCAATGAACAGTTCTATTTCATCTTACTGTTACTTGAAAATACAAACTAAATTTGTCTGATATCAAAACTATTTTTCACATTTTAAAATTCTTAGCCGACACTCTGAGAGAATCCTTGCTTGATTGGTCCAGGAAAGTTGAGCCTATCAGTCATTCATATGTATAATTAACATTGGTTCGAATTAGTCAATTGATCTCATGTACCCTTACTATGGAGGCACTTTACAGTCACGCCTCAACTTTCCATTCTAATGAGCTCCTTTTTCTCTGACAAGGGGCTAACAATTGAAATGTCAGCTTCAAAATGTTCTCACAACGGCCAGTTTACATTATCCACTCAGTCGTTAAATCCAATCTCTATCTGTTACTAGTCTCTGCTTTGTCCTGATTGCTTTTTGTAATTTCGATGGTTTTAGTTTTATGAACTCAAACCAAGTGCAGTGAATTCACTTTTATTTTATAAGCCAGATTATGATACATCAAGCAGTGTCATATTTTTGAATACTAGATTAACTATTCACTTCTTGTACTCACGGAATAAATGGTTTTGAAAGCTTGAAAACAGCTTTCAGCGAGAATTTTCCCCTTAAAATGATGCAGTAGTTCAATCCCTCCGTGAACCTGAAAAAAGGCAAAGAAAGAAACATTACAGTTTAATTTATATTAATACAACTAGCAAGATAACTTTATACATCCACTGATCAGGTATTGGGAAAGTACAACTTTATCAGCAGCATTGGGTGATCTTCACCAGTAGCAATTAATGTAAAAACACCAAATTTATCACCTGGCTGACTTTGTTAATTCCATCAGACTGATATTGGTACAAACTCCTCTTACCTGTTTTTGAGCAATTTATAAAATTTCTTTGCCAAATGAATTGAACAAAGCTTTGCACCATCATCCCCTCCATGAATAACAACTGTGAACTTGTCCGTGAAGAAATTGTTCTTGATGTACTCCTCAACATTTCTAAATTCAGAGATCATACAAAGGTGATTAATCCAGATGATACCAGATGTAAAATCTTGGATTGCAAGATGACAGAAATTTGCCTTAATTTCACTGCATTTTGTATGAAATGGAATTATATCATTTTATAACAACTACCAGTAAATGAGTACCTACACTGAACTTTCAGATGGATTTAAAAAGTTTGTCTCACTCCCAAACATCCCGAGCAAAGTGAACATCTATTTACCACCTTGAAAAGTTTCTTTCAAATAACATTATGATAGAAATTGACATAGTATTGCAAAAATGCCCTCACTTACGAGCAGAGATCATTGATGAGTGCCTTTGATTTTGACCCTTGGAACAGTTTTGAAACCATAGGGACCTTCTCCGTGTTCAACAGGAAAACTTCATTTCCAGATTCATCAAGGTGTTCTGGTTAAAAAATATTTTAAAATTAATTTCAGAAAACTATCAGCTATCATTAAAACTATCATTAATTTCAGAAAACTATCTTGAACAAAAGCTCATCTTTCAAACCGGCAGTCTAAATCCCACAGGTATCAACAAACACTTTTCATTCCACTAATTTATTTGCGTTTTTCTC